TAGAGCCGATAATAGGGACGACTTGCCGGCGCCCACACGACCCACAACTGCCACCAATGACTGCCTCTCTATCTCTATATTGATATTCTTGAGCACAGAATCGTTGCAATTGTTATCCCATTTGAATAAACCGTTTTTGATAACAATAGGAGTCCTTTGATTGGGTTTGTGGTCAACGAAACTCTCATTCACTTCATTAGCGTTTAAATAGGCATTCATTCGCTTTACTGATAGTCTGCACTGAATTTACATTTGAAAGTCAAGATAAATAAATTAAATTAATAATTAGCTCATACAAACTTTAGTAACTTACCATAGTAACTGAAGTAATTAATGGTGGAATCATAGTAATCGGACCCTCTATTTACACCGTAATAGAAACTTAATTAATAAATACTGTTTATATAATTTGTATTATTAAACAATGTATACTAAACTCATTATATTGAACAACGATAGGGAGACAAACGCTTTACTTGGGTCCAGAATATTCTGGTCAGATATCAGTGTAAATACGACAAAACTGCATAAACTAACCTTGATTATAAAAATAAACAAAACACCACAATTACGTTAAAGTTATATTTATAACAATGTGGCCACATGGTCACTAACCAAAAAGGTCATTGAGCCCATTGACACAGTTATCAAGGTGACATTAAATACCAGAGCCCTTAAAATGTCAATTTCCGCGTCCCGGAGCCCAACCACGCGGTTCCTGAAGGCGCCGCACCAGCCGTACAGTTTCAACACTTTCATATGATTCAGCATTTCGGTGATGACAGACACGCGGCCACCCTTTCCCCGAAACAGCCGGTCCCAGAAGCGCTGTTCGCGGGCCACCAGTAGTGACGACACCGGTGTGTACAGTATCATAAAACCCACGCTGGCCAGTGTGGCCGCCGCACCCAACTGTGCCCATAATAAGTAGATACAGAGACCCATCTGTAACGGACTCAGCCATAGATTGTTGCCGAAGACGAATACACACGACAGGTAAGACATGTCCCTCGATAATAGGTTGACAACATCGCCGGCGGTGAACTCTTTGCGCCCGGCGCTGGACAGCCGTAGGGACTGGTGGGTTGGAAATGGCATTATTTAATGCTCATTAGTAATGATTATAAAAATTTTAGCGATTAATTTACCTTTTCGTATAGTTTGGCCGAAACGCATGACTTGATCCGCATAATGACCACACTTTTGCCGTACTCGTAGTGCCCGTCCAGTATTGACGCTACAGTCGGCGACACAAACATCAATAGGGCGTACGTATAGCCCAACCATTCGGGTTCGGGAGCGGCGGTGACCGCACCGGTAGCTGACACGGGTGTCATGAATGCGATGAGTCGCCCGAGTATTAGGGGTTGAGTGAAGGCCAGTAGACTCGCCGCCAGTTTGAGGCACGCGTTGTACAGTAGTGTCGGCCAAAAGGTGCGTAAAATTGCCGGAAATATATTTACCGATCGATTTTGGTCTATCGGGTCCGTAATAGGGGTCCAATGTTTGTTAAATTGTTGGACACAGTGTTTAGTTTGATTCTGTGTGGACAGCGACCACATGTCTTCAGTGGTCAATGGTTTCCGATAGCCATTCATAATCATTGGTGTAAACCATGAAAATGTGAGCCGAGATATAAATGAAGCACCGATTTTAGGACACTTTGGCTAATATTATTTATAATAAAATTTAATTTAGTTTAAATCGTTTAAAAATAATTGAAAATATTTTAATTATTAAATATTTTATGATTACTTTTTCATCGGTGTTTACGAAGACTTGTGTTGAGTCCGTAAAACATGAGAGTAATAATTGGGTGATAATTATTGGCAATGAAATTGATTTTGTGGTATAAATTATATTGTAGTCTATGATTGTCTAATTTAATAACAATTAGTGAATTAACGTATTTAAAAAATAGCAAAAAATTAATACTTCATAAAATGCAATGTAAAATATAGTCCTTATGTTAAATGCGGTTCCGATAGACAAACACAACCAGAATATGAATAAAACGCCCGAAGAATTCATTACTCGCTTCTTATGATTAATTATCAAAACTATTGTAGAAATCTTTTAAATAAATTAAAATTATTAAAAATTTTTGAATCAAATAAAAATTTAATAAATACTTACAAAAGTTAATGTCATTATTAAATATGAAACGATTTCCACTAAATGTGTTGAATTACCATTAATTGCACTCAAGAGTTGGGAAAAGCATAACAGTAATAGCACTCCCGATAAACACTAAAACAATTTAATTAATAAATATTTTAAATTAAAACAAACAAAAAATAAATACAATTTTAGTGATGGAGAGTAGAGTCCATGTCGTGGGATGTGATGAACCCCTGGATGTGATCACTTCTGGCGACCGATTGTGCCATTCATACAGTGATGTGACAAATAATATAAGGGATGGCATCCATACGAGTACAGTCTCTTCGATAACTGAGTCGGTAATACCCTTTAAATTCTGGGGGAAAAAAATTGCCACAATTTTCTACTGACATACTCTTAATTTAAAAATTACCCAAAAGTTTTGGTCACAAGTTTTAGCACTCATTCCAACGTAAATTACTAACGATATGAATTGACAATAAAATTAATATTCAGTTATACAGTGTTATGTAGTTATTTGTCACATAACTCTCTATGAGATGACAGAGAAAAATAATATTAAAAAATATATTACATAATTTTTTATGTCACATTGATAAATTTATAATGAAGTGACTGAACAAATATTTACCCATAATGCACGGAATAATAACCACGAGTGTAATAAACGTTTTACAATCGTTAAAGATAATTTATAATAATTGATTAAAATATTTTCTACGAAATGTAAGTTTGCATCATTTACCACTACTTAACATTGACCTTGTGGGAACAAACTAATATCGTTAAGTTTACCATAGTATCAATATTATTGTCAGGTAAGTTTTGTAAATGTAATCCATTCAGGCAGATAAATAATATATCAAGGACAGTTAGTAGTTAACAATTTAATGTTTTGATAATTAATATAACAAGTTGCATTTAACCATTTAATTAATGAGATCAATTTAAATGACCATTCGGCTTACACTGGGCCGCAATACGCGTGCGATTGGCCACAGTGTGCGTACACTTCGCCCAAACGTTTTAATATGAATCATATTATATGACTAACCATATGAACGCACACCGGAGTGATTGGCCCGGATGTCAGTACCGGTCGAGTTTCCCGACCATTTCGGTTCACCGCAGAACCCATGCGAGAGACCGGTCAACGCGTGGCCCCAATCCCGGCACCCCTTCCCGCATATAATCTGTGTTTTACGTGTATTTATAACAGAGTTTTTCAATCATTAATTAGTGATTTTATTATGTTTTTAATTATAATTTAAACTTTTATTTAAACTAAAATTATAATTTTGCCGGTAATTCATTAAAATGAATGTTTTTACACATTTTTATTGCATTTAATTAAATAATGTATTTTAAATCAAACAAATATTATTGCAATAATAGTGCGAGTAATGCACACCAGAGGCAGGCGTTGGCACATGTGGTGAACGGCACTAACACTACCTCTCAATCCATTTCCTTTCACTCCATTTCCTTTCAAACAACGCTTTCAGAGCTCTTGTCTATCGATTGCCACAAAAGCTTTGATTTTGTGTTTGATTTGTTTTAAATCATTACTGAGTTTTGCGTCAATTGATAAACAATGAGTGAATTAAGCGATGACTCCAATGGAGTGAACAAACAGTTGGACTCAAACCAAATCAAAGAGGAGTCGATGGCCACTGCAAACAACGGCAGCCAATCGTGGGGTCAAATGCCAGACAAAGACATGCATTTGAGTCAAAGTGTGGACACAAACCATATCAAAGCCGAAGACAACGAGTCGATCGCCACAAATGAATTCAATGTCACCCTTAATGAGATGATCTTTTCCCGAATGAATGCGGTTCAGTACTGCCCATCGGATGGCTTTGTCGGGTATAATAGATATGAGCGATACATATCCACACTTGAATAACACCTAAACTTCTTCCTGTTTTAGCCTAAATAAAGATGAAGAGCGAGAATATGAGGTCGAGTTTATTCTGGAACTGTTTGAACGGTGGGCTCCTATTCCTAATGGCATTACTTTATGCGATGCCGTCATCGGTACGAACGCCAAGTGGAACCTCAAACGCAAACCGAAGAACCGCTTTTTGGTCCATGAGGTGGACGTTCGGACGGCCATTAACTCTGTTTGTGGTGTCGATGGCATCGGTGTTTACCTCGTTCTCTCAGCTCCAGAGCTGAACAAATCGCACGCCGGGGTATTGATCACTGAGACTCAATCGCAGCGAATCAAATGTTAGTATTTATATTAATTATTGGCATTTTATTAACACTTGAATTGTCCAGTTTTCTATTGGGATCCGTTGCCGAAAGGGAAGGGGAAAGGGAAGGCAAACGTGAAACTACCGCAAGTTCTTCGAACAGTTCTTTATCGCCATTCGTTGAACAAAGTAGAGAAGGGTTTTGTATACCGGGGTTACGGAAATCAGAAGCAAAACAATGGTCTCGAACTCTGCTTACGATTCATTGCAAACATTCTCAACGATTCGGCATTTCATACAACGATTGAATGGTTTCCTCACATTTGCAAATTGACATGAATTGGTTTGACTTAATTTCCCTAATTATATAATTTAAACTTATTGATAATTTGTTTTAATCAAAATTATATAACATTTTTAATTAATATAATTTTAAATTAATAATCTATATTTCACACAAATAATGCAATTGTAATGTATGAGTGCCAACGCCTGTATGACTGCTCGTGCCTCACCTTAAATAAACCAGGCTCAATGATTTTAATATAATTTTAATTAGTTTTATAAAGTAATTGACAAATAAATGAATAATTTTGTTTGAATAAAATATCGTTTATTAAACGTACAAAATATTGTCGCAATTATTGAAGATAAAATTGATTTGTTTATAGTTTTATATATTTTAAACATATTTATTTGAAAATACCGGTTAATGCGTGTATTTTTAATTGCTAATTGAATAGTGCATAGTATTGACAATCAGTATATCATAGTGTAGAGTGTGTACAACAACTATAAATTGTGGTTAATTTGATGTTTAGTTGTTTAAAATGTTTGCATTTTCTCAATTAGATATATTTCCAAAGTTATAACAATCGGCTTTAATAATAATCAAAATCACAATAAATTTGGTTCAAGAAATAATCATAAAAATATACAGCAATACTAATCCACAAAATCAATGAACAATTAAAGTTATAATTAAAATAATGAATGAGAAAAGACTAGTTTAATGGGGAATACGGATTGGGAAGTGACCGACAGGGAAATAGACTGCACTCAATGTAATATCTAATTATGACTATTTTTATTACATTATTAATAATAACAACTGTAAACAAATTAATTAAAACTAAATTAAACTTTTAATGTAATAATGATTATATTGATAGTAACAGTAGTGGACACCAGAGGTAGGCGTTGGCACATGTGGTGAACGGCACTAACACTACCTCTCCATCCGTTTCCGTTGAAACAAAGCTTTCAAAGCATTTGTCTATCGATTGCCGCAAAACCTTTGAGTTTGTGTTGAATTGAGGTCTAAATCATTACTGAGTTTTGTGTGAATTGCTATACAATGAGCGGTCAATCGAGTGATGACTCCAATGCTGTGACCAAACAGTTGGACACAAACCATATCAAAGTCGAGTCGATGGCCACCGAAGACAATGGCATGCGTTTGAATGGCGGCAGAAATGCTCATCAATTTCTGGTGAGTTTTAATCAATTGATTAATTGTTTTAAATTAATAATACATCTAATGATAGGACGAGTCGATAGCGTGGATGCGGAGCGCCGGCGATGACGAGAAGTTAGCTTTTCTTAAGGCATTGTTGGCCACACTTCACACCTCACAACACATCACTGCTCTTCACAATATGGCCGGTCGTCGGCTCTGTTCCAGTTACCCGTCTTTTCGATTTATTAAACTTAGATTTTTGAACATATTTTTTTTAATTATCGGCACAAATGGCCACAAACAACCGTCTAGGAAACCCTTAACCTAACCTAACCTAACTTACCATAATATAACTAACTTAAATTAAAATAATATTTCATAAAATTATTTTTATAATGGTTGTCTATGGGAAGTTAATGTCGCGATATTTCTGAAAGTATTCGAGATAGAAAATTTTGAATTTGATATTCGTGTTCAGCGTTAAATTCTACATCGAATCCATATATCACATTCATAAATTTCGTAATTTTGATAGGGGGTGGGGGTAAAAAAGGAGGTCTGGGAGGGGTGTGCCCAGAGGGTTTTTTGGAGGGCTATATGTATATTCGTGTTCAGCGTTAAATTCTACATCGAATCCATATATCACATTCATAAATTTCGTAATTTTGATAGGGGGTGGGGGTAAAAAAGGAGGTCTGGGAGGGGTGTGCCCAGAGGGTTTTTTGGAGGTCTATATGTGCTGGTTATAAAAATATATATGTTGGTGGGCTAAATCGAAAAGACGGGAAACTGGAACCGAGCCCCGGTCGTCGGCTCAGGAGTTTGAAAAGGGATGAAATGAAGGGCAAAGCGGTAGCGCCCGACCAAAAACCACGTGTGCCGTAAGGGTGGACAACACGCCTGGCATACTATCAATGATATCCCTAATTATGATCTCAATAACTAATCTATATTTAAATTACACATTTGTTAAATAAGTGCCAATGCCTTAGAGTTCTCGTGCCTTATATTGCATTACGATTACAATTAAACANTACACATTTGTTAAATAAGTGCCAATGCCTTAGAGTTCTCGTGCCTTATATTGCATTACGATTACAATTAAACAATCATTAATTAATGTTAATCCCAATTACTCTCAATAATCATTGCTTTTATAATAATTTTAAATTTTTAATAATTGTTTTTAATAAAACTATAAATGAATCAAATTTTCAAATCTTGTTATTATTGGTTGTCATAAATCACTTGACAATCGGTCTCTTAATTGCATGTGTTTTACCATTCAATCCACCAATTAATCCATTGATTCATATCTTGAGATCAAATATTGTTTTGTGTACACAAATACTGAAGAGGAAGACCAATGGATTCAATGGAAACGACAAGTTTTGGCAACGAATTGACAGAAACTAAGAAATAGATAATTGAAATGAAGGCCAAAATCAATAGATGAACCGATTGTCTGAAGACATTGTCTCTAATCATCACTGAATTGTCAAAAGCAAACGAACCACTCGTGTGTACAATATCTTCATTATTGAAAATATAATTTTATTGAACAAAACACAAAGAAAACAATTATTGTTTAAAAACTAAATCATATAAATATTCACCAAAAAAATGTACTAACAATTAGTTAAACAAACAATTATTATAATATTTATAATACTGTCCACAAAATCAATGAACAATTAAAGTCATAATTAAAATATAATGAATGAGAAAAGACTAGTTTAACGGGGAATACGGGACGGGAAGTGATCGACAGGGAAATAAACAGCACTCTATTATATAGAGGGTAAACACCGGGTGTTGGGGGATAGGATGGGGACCACCCATAGACAACACCACTGACCATAGAGTGACCGCAATATACATGTAATGATATGACACTCATCGCAAGTGGTAAACTGCTTGTGAAAATATGGGTGTGGAGGAATGGGGGAGGGGGTGTCGATGAACTAGGTCTGTCCGCCCAATTCGTCCTCGTACTGTTTCCTGAAACACTCGCCAACGGGGAAAAAGTCCCAGGTGCGTTTCTGGTAAAACTCCCACACGTAGGTCTCCTGACCCGTGTAATCGGTGTCCGGTTTGTTAATCAAATGCATGAAGAAAAACATATAATTGGCCAGATTGTGCTCTTTGGCCACATGCGTGTCGAAGCCGTGCGGCACTTTGTCGAAGTAGTCTTTGCCGATACCGCAGATGAAACAGTTGCTCTCCATGTCGTCCGATACGGACTGCAGTTGATCGCGGAGTTCGCCAAACGCGTCGATTATCAGACCTAAGGGAGTCGACAGGGATTTACACATATGGTTAAAATGCATATCGCCCTCTCCCTCTCTCTCTCTCTCCCTCTCTCTCTCTCCCTCTCTCTCCCTCCCTCCCTCTCTCTCTCCCTCCCTCTCTCTCTCCCTCCCTCTCTCTCTCT